AGAGTGTGCATATGCTGCTGTGTGTGTATATGTAAATCTGTGTTTGTGTGTGTGTGTGTGTCTGTTTCTGTGTGCAACTATGTGTGTAGTGAATGTGTGCATGGAAGTGTATCTCTGAGTGTGTGTGAGTGTGTCTATGTTGATGTGTGTATATTGTGTGTTTGTGCGCAAGTATGTCTCTGCGTTTGTGTGGGTGTGTCTGTTAATGTGTGTATATTGTATGTTTGTGTGTGCATGTGTGTGAGTGTGTCTATGTTGATGTGTGTGTATATGTACATTTTTGTGTGTGTATGTTGTATGTATGTGTATGTAAGTACGTGCGAGTGTGTGTATGCAAGTGTGTCTCTGAGTATGTATGAAAGTATGTCTATGTAGAAGTGTGTCTTTAAATATGTGTGTGTGTATATTGTACATATATGTGTGTGTGCAAATGTGTCTCTAACCATGTATGAGAGTGTGTATGTTTATGTGTGTGTATATGTAAATATGTTTGTGTATATTGTTTGTTTGTGTGTGTGTGTGTGTGTGTGTGTCTGCAAGAGTTTGCCCATGTTAACGTGTGTATATTGTATGTTTGTGTACGTCTCTGTGTGTGTATGTGTGATTTCTGTATCTATGTATGTATATACATGCGAGCGTGTGTATGCTATAAGTGTGTGCGTTAACGTGCATGTGTGTTCATAAGTATTTGAGTTTACAGTACGGTGTGTGTGTGTGCATGTATGTTCATGTTTATGTGAGTTTACAACATGTGTGTGCATGTGTATGTGTGTATTGTATGTATCTGTGTGTGTGTGTTTATGTGCAAGTATGTGCATATGTATTTGAGTTTACAGTACACTTTGTATGTGCATGTGTGTTCATGTGAATGTGTGTTACAGTGTTATTATTGTCCATCAATCCTCCTCTACCTCCTCTTCCTCAGGCTGCTCTCCAGGCGTCCCAGCTCCTCGTACCCCCTGTAGAAGAGCTCCAGCTCTCGGGCTCCCCAGCTCCTCCAGACTGCCAGGCACCAGGCCATGTTTTCCTTGCGGAAGCCGCACACAACGGTGTCTTTAGCCACGAGCGCCGCCTCCGCCAGAGTCCTGCGAGAAGAGAGGAGAAGAAGAGATGAGCTGGAAATAAATAAACGCGGCCGGACTCTTCGCAGAAGCACCGAAGCCTCTGTTCCTGGAAGTTCCCGCCGAGGGCCTGAAAGCAGCGTTTGTTTGATGAATGAGTGTTTACAGCCAGAGCTGACGGCGGGTCGACCAGGACAGACACCAGTCTATGATAAACCCTTTATAAGAACCAGAACTTTTGCAAAATCTCTGCCTTAAACACCTCTTCATAGTCTTCTAGCTGAATAGTGGTTTTCGCAGTCGTTATATTCTAATAAATCTGAATTATGCTAATCATTTATATACATATGCAGTGGTCCGCATAAATGTGTACACCCCTCATAGATCTCTCTTTTAACCCTTGTGAACTGTTTAGATTGATTACCCTTTTGTTAAGTTGGTGGCTGTTTTTCCCCCCACAGTATTTCCTCTTATGTTTTTTCTTCTGGAGAAAGTCTGATTTGCTTTATTTGGGCTAGAATAAAAGCAGTTTTGTATTTTTTAAAAACGATGAGAACGATGGCCATGAAACCCCCTCGTTTCAGCAGGGTGTTTTCACACCTCTACTTTGGAAAAATTCAGAAGAGTGGGCGTGTCCAGCTCTGTTTAGGAGGGAGTGTCGGAGGAAGAAAAGAGGCAGGGTGTGGGAGTGTCTATTTGGGCGCTCTGAGTTTCAGAGTCAAAACACACACACACAGGGGAGAAAGTGACTGTGTTTACATGGACATCTGTAGTCGAATTATTTGCCAAATTACTAAATGGTGGACTTTAACTGCAGTTTGGCTCTTTCATTCAGGGAATTCATTCATGTCCCTCGCGACAAACGAGCTATTTGATTCGAGGAACTGCTCTAAGCGTGTATTTTTCATTTTCATCGAATGAGACAAAAAAACCCTCAGCATTTCCCGGAAACTTAGATGCACACGGCAGGTAGTGTCAGAAAGCCGCGTGTGTTATTCCGGTCACTAAATGCGGTAAAAACCCTACACGAGGTTAAAGTTTGGTTGTGGTGCTAACATGTTTACACTTGGTGCAATAGTTTGTTCGATACGAACAAACTGAATAAACAAAGAGCACTGGTCGCTCACTTACCAAATCTGTAGAGACAGGACAATCACCAGCAACTAGAGCCGTGTCTTTATTAAGAGGAGACTACAAGCGAATCCGGATCTCAGCGTTTGCAGATGAGAACAGCTCTCAGGTAAACAATAATCCTCCTTAGACACGCAAGTTATTGTTGTCGAGCGTCGCGTACACTGTTAATCTACCCGTGACTCCAGCTGCGCTCTCACAGAGAGAAAATGAAAACAAAACTTAACTGCAGCAAACTATAAAAGCAACACTTCACGCTTGTTTTGCCAACACAACGTGGCGTCTCTGCCGTCTACACTGTGACAGTAATGAATATTAATGAAGTTGCACAATAGAGCGCGCTGATTGGTTTGAACCAAGCTTTACTCATGCATTAATGCAGCACACTGTAAGACGTAATAAGACACACTCTGGCACAGACGTCCAGTCTGCACGCTGGAATACAACGCTATTATGTCATGACCGTGACGCAGCTTCAAAAATTCATTTCAAACCGCAAGTACGAATTTGCTTGAAATAACGCAAAAACAACCAATTTACACTTTTTAGTGAAATATAGGTGTCCTAATAGTGTTTTTAGCAGTGTGGGACACATATACGACTGTCAACAGCTCAAAAAATGTGTTTTGGTGTTTTGTGACCCTTTAAGGTCTATATTATTAGCCCCCTTCGACAATTTTTTTCCAATAGTCTACAGAACAAACCATCGTCATACAAAAGCTGCGTCCCAAATTACACACTTATGCACTATTCTACGCCATTTTGTAGTATAAATAGAATCAGTAGTGTGTTCACACTGAAAACTCTAAAAATAATAAGTGCACTTTAATTACCCGGATGATGCACTCATTCAGCCGATAAAATTAAGTGTGTAGTGATGGACTCACTGCAGTTATTATTTGATAATTCGGTCATTTATTTCACTGATTTGGCGACCGTCAAACGTCATCATGGAAACAGTCAGAATTTCCTCTTAGTAAAAAAACATTAGTGTGCCATTTGGGACGCCACTACATACATATACTATCCTGTTGAGTGTGTAAGTGCATAAGTACATAGTGCATGAGTGCATAGTGTGCCATTTGAGACGCAGCTAAAGACTTCCCTTTTTACCCTAAGTTGCCTAATTAAGCTAGTTAAGCCTTTAAATGTCACTTTAAGCTGAATACTAGTATCTTGATAAATATCGAGTCAACTATTATGTGCTGTCATCATGGCAAAGATAAAAGAAATCAGTTATTAGAAATGAGTTATTAAAACTACTATATTTAGAAATGCGTTAAAAAAATCCACTTAATAATTAATAATAGTTAATAATAGTTAATAATTCTTACTTTAAATGTATGTATGTATGTGTGTAAGTGTGTTTCTATATACAGCGCATCCGGAAAGTATTCATAGCGCTTAAAATACACACAATACCCCATAATGACAATGTGAAATAAGAGTTTTTGAAATTGTTGCAAATTTATTAAAAATAAAAAAAGCTTAAAAATCATATGTACATTAGTATTCTCAGCCTTTGCCATGAAGCTCTAAATTGAGCTCAGGTTCATTCTGTTTCCGATGATCATTCTTGAGATGTTTCAGCAGCTTCATTGGAGTTCACCTGTGGTCAATTCAGTTGATTGGACATGATTTAAAAAGGCATACACCTGTCTATATAAGGCCCAAGGGTTGACAGTGCATGCCAAAGCACAAACCAAGAATGAAGACAAAGGAATTGTCTGTAGACCTCAGAGACAGGATTGCCTCAAGGCACAAGGCTGGGGAAGGTTACAGAAACATTTTTGCTGCTTTGAAAGTTCCCATGAGCACAGCGGCCTCCATCATCCGTAAGTGTAGGATGTTTAACCACCAGGACTCTTCCTAAAGCTGGCCGGCCATCTAAGCTGAGCGATAAGGGGAGAAGGGTCTTAGTCAGGGAGGTGATCAATAACCCGATGGTGGAGAGAGGAGAGAGGAGAACTTTACAGAAGGACAACCATCTGTGCAGCAATCCACCAATCAGGTGGATCAGAGTGGCCAGACGGAAGACACTCCCTGCCTGGAATTTGCCAAAAGGCATCTGAAGGACTCTCAGACCATAAGAAACTAAATTCTCTGCTCTGATTAGACTCACATTGAACTCTTTGGAGTGAATGAATACTTTCCTGATGCACTGTATGTGTGTGTGTGCCTGTGTTTGTATTTTTTTCTTTTCAAAAGCAGAATAATGTATGAAGCATTATCTGTTTTGTGATAGCGTCACTGATGGTATTTTTTGTGTCCTCGCTCTGTCCTTCAGCCTGTGATCTGGAGGGCGATCAGACAGCACTGTGATGAAGGACATAGGGTTTGTGTTATTGAACAGTGAGGATGAAGGAGGCTTTCAGAGGAGAAACAGGTGCTGGAAATCAACACACATCCTCATCTGCCTCTCTGTTACATATCGTCCACCCTTTTGAGGGTAAATTTAAGCCTTATTAAAGACCTTATAACACAGGAAATTTACACTGTAAATACAAAATTACTTGCTAAAATAAATAATGGGCAAAAAATCTGTTGATTTCTGCGCGAGCAGATTTTGTGTGGGCCTACTTATGACCCTGCTGTTGACCCTGCTGTTGTTTAACGGAGAGAAGATTTCTAAACACATTTCTAGACAATAATGGTTTTAATAACTCATGTATAATAACTGATTTATTTTATCTTTGCCATGATGACAGCACAGATATTGTTCAAGATACTAGTTTTCAGCTTAAAGTGACAAGGCCTAGCTAGGGTGATTAGGCAAGTCATTGTATAATGATGGTTTGTTCTAGAGATCTGCGCGGGACTAAATTTTGAATCCCGCACCCGCCAGGTTTTAGCCCGAACCTGACCACTCCTGCTTATATTAAGCATTTGTTGTCCCGCTGCCCAACCTCCCCCGTTTTCTACCCGCCGCGCCCGATCCCGCTGGAAAGAGCGGGGGGAGAACAAAACCGAAAACCGCGCAGAGTACAGAGTCTGGACAGCCTATAACAAGCTGTCTGTAAAAACACACACACATAGCAACAAGCACACACACACAGACAAAGCTCTCTCTCTCTCATTCATGCGCACTAACACACACACACACACACACGCACGCACGCACGCACGCACACACGCACGCACACACACACACAGGTAACTCTCTCTCTCAATCGCGCGCGCGCACTAACACACACACACACATAAGCAACAAGCAAACACACAGGCAAAGCTCTCCCTCACTCATTTGCGCGCGCACTAACACACACACACACACACACACACACACACACACACACACACACACACACACACACACACACACACACACACACACACAGGTAAAGCTCTCTCTCATTTGCGCGCGCGCACTAACACACACACACACACATAAGCACCAAGCAAACACACAGGCAAAGCTCTCCCTCACACATTTGCGCGCGCACCAACACACACACACACACACACACACACACACACACACACACACACACACACACACACAAGCACCAAGCACACACAGGCAAAGCTCTCTCTCTCTCTCATTCGCGCGCGCATACACACATACACACATACACACAGCAACAAACAAGCTAAACACAGCGTCGCGCTTTTTCATTTACACACATACATACGCATCCTGTCCCAAATTAAACCCGTTACCGATCGCCCCCTGCGCTTTATTCGGAAATTTATGCAGACCTCTAGTTTGTTCTGTAGACAAAAAAATAAATAAATAAACACTGCTTAAAGGGGCTAATGTATTTTTCGCGAGCGGGTTTGCGAGGGGGGCGGGGCGGAGGACTGGCGATGCCGGCTCAGCATCGTGTTGTCTATTGGCCATCGGCGATGGATGAGGGCATCGTCTATCAGCCCAACTCTACTCCCAAACAAAAAATTTATCAGGTTTTAGATACAAATCTTTGCAAAGGTACAGTCTAGAGTTGGGTTGATGGACGATGATGGCCGATAGATATCACGATGCTGAGCCGGCATCGCCAATCCTCCGCCCCACCCTTTCGAAGCAGCAACCCGCTCACGAAAAATACACAAGTTCAGACTGCAGGATTTTCAAAGTAGTCCTGTCACAGATGTTTTCACACTGCATGACTATCTGGGCTAGTGTTTCGTCGCTGCTTTGTTTACACTACAAGATGGATCGGCGACAGGGGGT